CCGTGGCCCCACCAGCACACCTTGAGCTGACACCACAGCCACAGCTCAGCTGGTCTGCACGGCCCCAGCTCCCAGCACAGCCACCCCTGCGTTCTGCAGCAGAGCCCTCGCGGGGGAAGGCCGGGCAGAGCTCCCAGGTGTTGCTGCAGAGATCGAGTCCTGCCCAGCTCCGAAGTTTAGCCACAGTGCAGAAGCTCCAGGAGCAGCAAACTCAGGCAGGCAGGAGCCCGGCTCTGCTCCCCTGAGAGCAGGGAGAGGCAAAGACCAGCAGAGATCCTCCTGACCACAAACCCCACTGACACATCCAAACCCACAGCCACGATCCCCCCCACACGCTGCCCCACGGCACCGGGGCCACCTCACGTCCTACCTTCACTGGTGGTGGCGGACAGGCAGGCAGCCAAAGCGATGACGATGGAGAGCGAGGACGTCAGGTCCCCCTGTGCCCATGCCATGGTCCGGTGGGGCCGCCGGTTGCGGGATGGGGCTGCCGCGGTGGTCTCGTCACCTTTGCGATCGAGCGCCCGGAGCTACGGCACACGCCGGCTCATGCAAAGGCACTTTGCGCACATTGCTCGCATCCACACAGGCGAGCGGCTCGGCGGGGAGGGCGCAGCCTGCCTGTCACCGCTCGCAAGCCAATGGGGTGGGTGGGCTCTGCAGCGAGCCCCCCTTCCCGCTCCGCACGCACACGCTGGACCCAGCCGGAGCATCCCGACCACGGGCTCCCGCTCCCCCCCCGGCCATCCCCCCCGTCTCTTGACGCTGCACTCCCTGCCGTCCCCCTTTTGCGGCTCCACTCCGCTGCTGTGAAAGCCGAACCTCCAGCCCGGTGCTGTGGCCGTGCCTCCTGTCCCGGCCCGTGGGATGGATTGGCTGTCAGGGGACAGAGTTGCTCAGAGGTTTCCCCTCCGGCTGGCAAAGCAGGGGGCACAAGCTTGGTCAGGATCAGGCAGAAGGGGAGGTGGGATTGCTCTTCAGTTCTGGTGCACAGAGAGGATGAGAACCTATTGCATGTGTTCCCCTCACATATCCAGGGCCCAAAGGGACAGCCAAGCCCCTGCCTCTGTGCCACATCAAAACAGAGCCTGGGAGGATGCAGACCCCCAGCAGATCTCCCATCCAGGTGGGCAAAGGCGCCCTGCATGAGGTCAGGGCTGCCTGGACAGGAAGCATCTCCCTGCTGCCTGCCAGGCATCTTCCTGCTTGGAGCTGCTGGCATTGCTGAGCGAGCCAGGTGAGCGCCTTTCTCAGCATTCAACACTCAGCATCTACCAGATCCCCTCCAGCTGCCACCGTTACTTCTCCATCTGAGTGCTGAGCAGTTACTGATACTCGGCTGTAATCACTGCAGTGTTGGCTCCCACCTGTGCCATCAGAGGTGTCCTTATCTGCTTGTTCATGGCTGGGCAGGACAATCTGTGATCGTAGCCCTGGCCAAACTCATCCCACCAGGAGCCCCCCATGGCACTGCCAGCAGCCGCTACCACTGCAGCCTGAGGGGCTCCCAGCCCATCGCTGACAATTCCCCATTCACAGCAGCTGAGGATTGTGCCTTCAGGGACACATCCGCAGCACTCATCACCAGGACCTGGGAACGACCTGGCTCATCGGGTCCCTCCGGCTCGTTTTCCCCTCTGGCAGCCTGGGAAAGCCATCCACCAGCAGACAGCACTGGAGAGGTCCTGTCATCAGTGGTATCGCAGGCTGGGATCGCTGAGCAGCTCAGGACACGAGCTCTCCTGTCCCCCAGTGGCCCCCCCAGCCCCAGGTGTCCCAGCAATGTTGGTCCCCGTGGCCTTTGGCCTCGCTGTGATGCAAACTGCCATGGTCGGTGCTTTACAGAGCATAAAGGAGCTTTGCAGGAGCCAGCATGCCACAAGCCCAGAACTGGGGATTGGGAAACCTCTCCAAAGCATCACTAGAACTGAGGAGGTGTGTATGTGTGCAGCAGTGGGTGCAGTGGGGTGCTGAGTCCCAGCAGAGGACCATACTGTGCTCAGAGTGTCCTGAGTACCGCAGCACATGTGTTGTGTGAGCGGGAGCATTTGCATGCTGGAGCCTGCACTGCATGGGAGCCTGAAGGGGCATGGAGGAGGTCCCAGGTTAATTTGATCCTTGGCTTTGCCTTCCTACAGCTCCCCATGTCCCTACAGCTCCACATGGATCAACAGCTCCTCGTAGCCCCGCAATTCCTCATTGCTTACAGTTTCTCATGGTCCTGCATCTCCTTGATGACTCTACAATTCCTCATGGCACCACAGCTCTTCCTGGTCCTACAGCTTTTCATGACCCCACAGCTCCTCATGGCCCCATGTCTCCTCATGGCCCCATAGCTCCTCGTGTCCCTACACCTCCCTCATGGCAGCCTTTCCCTTGATGTCTTCTGAGGAGGCCACTGGTGAGGGCCAGCCCTCAGCATCAGCAGTGACGCAGCATGACTGTGGGAGGCCCTTGACCAGCTGAGCAATCAGCCCCCAATTAATGAAGGTCAGGTCTGTGCAGGCCTGGTACGCCTTTCTTCCTTGTCATGCTGCGTATTAATATCCTTTAAATTAAAAAAAATAATAATAATCTTATCATAATTTTTCCTCATTGAAGGAGATGGCTTGGAATTGGAATTGAGACAAACACAAGCCAGAAGCACCGGCTGCAGAAGGGGAGAGTTTAAGAAAGGCCTTTTGGTAATGCCCATCGTTCCCTTATCAGTGAGGATATTAAACGTATTGAAATGCTAAGCAGCTCTTTAATGGCTGTCTCTGATTTTCATTAAACAAGCAAGGGATGAGCAGGAGGGAAGGGGATGCAGCACTCTTCTCTCTCTAAGAAATTCTGATTGCTGGATATTAATGGCATTACTGTTCTTTTATCCAGGAGCGCGGGGTTGAGCTTGCCTCCTTGCCTATTTTCCATCTTGCTGAAGTGGAACGAAGTCCCGGCTCCCTGAGGTGGGTGCACAGTTGCTGCAGAGCTGGTAGGGACAGGGGCTGTATGCATACAGCTGCAAAGTATGGCTGCCTGATCCTGACCAATCAACCTCCTCCTGGGCACCTTTTTGGTGAAGCATCTCCAAGCCCTGCCATGCCGGTGCTGCCCAAACGGAGGAACCTCCTCGTGCCTCGATGGAGCTCACAGCTCTGACAGCCAGAGGAGGTACAGGGCAGCCCGCTCTGGATTTCTTTGCAGACAACCCAAACAATTCAAACTTCAGCTTTGCTGTCTGAAAAAGCAGAGATGCAATAATAGCTAAGCCCGAGCGCTTCAAAGGCACGCCAGGAAACAAAGCCCGTTAAGCAGGCGCTAAAATGGCAGGAGAGACACAACTGCACCTCCCGGCTCTTGTTACCTCTCCTTTGCTTTGCCGTTTCTAGCCTGTGGCTCCATTCTGCACGGCCACCGAGGTCAAAGGCTTTGCTGTTATAATCGCACGCCTCCAGGAGCTGGGGTTTAAAAGCGGCCAAAAATATCCTGTCGCTGCCCGTGGCACTGAGAGTCAGCGGCCACGGAGGAAGGACGGGCCAAGATGGGAGCAGAGGCTGAAGTCTCACCCCTCTGTCCAGTGCGCACGGTTTGCACTGCAGAGCACACTGAGAGCTGCCCAAACTGCCAGCTGTATTACAGGCACTTTGTTTCTGCTGGAAGTGGAAATCTCAAAGAGACTTAATTATAGAGCCGGGCAGACACGGGCGTAATCCTTTTGAAAGCCTACAATGAGACGCTCTCCAAAATTAATTTCGAAACTGCAAAATAACCAAACAAAGCTCCATTTGAAACAGGGTGAGTGATGGGTGGAACAATAGGGAGACACGTGGGAACACCCACAGCCACTTCAGAGCTCAGCCGGGGCTGCCCCTTCGCAAGGAGGGGGCACTGGGCAGGGATGAGCTGACAGTATGACTGCCCGCTGCTCCAGGCACCCCGTTTGGCTCACAGACTGTTTGGAATGCTGGGGCTGTGATTTCAGGGAGGTGACCTCTGTCTTTTTGTTATTTTACTGCCTTCAGAAATTTGGGATCAGGCCACCGACGTGCGAAAGTGGGGCTGGCAATGGTGAAGGATGGCACCAAGGCAAGGTTTTGGTTGTTAGGGACATGGTTTTGTGGGCAGCATTGGCAGCAGGTGGGTGGTTGGATGGGGTGATCACAGAGGTCTTTTCCAACCTTAATTATTTCATGATTCCATGGTTCTACGATATTCTCCAGCCAGCTCACAGTTTGGAGCCTGTCTCCTGCCCAGGAGTCGTGTTCCTTCGTGTGGGATGTTGGATGCAAGACTGTTTAGGAAGAACTATCTCTGGCTCTGGCTACAATTCGAAGTCATAAATAACCTGCTTACCTCGGGTAACCTTGTAGAACTGCAGCCTAATTTCTTCAGACATGCACCTCTCCACCTTATTGAACTGAGATTTAACTCCCTGTGGGATGTGCGGGGTCAGCGAAAAGACCTTTGTTAGTTCAAAGGTCAACAGAAGATGAACAAACAAATTGAAATGGTGTAAAAAGCTCATATTTAATTAATACTGTCTCAGGAACTAATTAACAGATTCACTTGGAAATCATCAGGAAAATAATCTATGTTTCAAAGGTAGGTGGCAAAGGGTCAGGGAGAACATGCTCTATATTTCACATGGAGAGAAGGGCTCAAAGCCAGCGATCTGGTGTAGATAAAACCCAGCCTTCACCCCTGAAACGGAGCAGCATTTTAGAAAGGACAACCTGTGACCTCAACACGGTCCTTGTCCTTTGGCAAAGCCAAGGTTGGGCCTTACAGCATTACTGGGCAGCTCTGTGCCCACCTGTGCTTAGCTGTGCTGACCAACTTCACATGTGGCATCAAGAGCTAGAGGCCAGCCAAGCCTTGCTCTGCCTTCAAGGCACGACAGTGTCTCCTGAATGGGCATCGCAGCCCACCTAGGCACCCTTGGACCGCTTGTCTTCCCAGCCATCCTTACGATCAGTCTGCTCATCCATCTTCGTAACGGGGTGACCCAGGCCCTAGGAGAGGATTTAAGGCATTGAATTTGGCACTGAGGATTTCTCACCCCAATTTAATCACTGACATCTTGGTGAGCAGAGCAGCAGACTCTGTGCCCGTGGTTCCCATCATCTGCCCATCCAGGAGGACATTCCCTAACCTCTTTTGTTCCTTTGGTCCCCTGGTTACAGCATTTGTGTCTTGGGACATGGGTGATGTGCTAGCAGAAACAGGATCTTCTCCAGTCAATAGCACACTCGGGTCACATCCTCATAAAATCAATAATTGTTAAGGTTGGAAAAGATCTCTAAGACCATCCAGTCCAACCTCAACCGTGCTCACTGACCACATCGCTCAGTGCCACATCTCCACGCTCCTTGCAGACCTCCAGGCTGTTGACTCCATCACCCCCCTGCGCAGTCTGGGCCAACGCATCACCACTTTTTTGGAGAAGAAATCGTTCTTCACAACCAACCTGAACCTCCCCTGGTACAACCTGAGGCCATTCCCTCTCATCCCACCGCTGTTACCTGGGAGAAGAAGCCGACCCCCTCCCTGACCCCCACCATTGTCCGAAGAAGTGCCTGGTGATGAGATAATTTCTGGCTTGCTTTGAAATATACACCTTTAAGGCAAAGCAAGTTACCTTGGCCTTCAGATTTAAGCACTTGCCTTCTACAGCAGCACTATCCTGCACTCCTTTGAAGAAACCACCTGAGCTAATAACATGATCACCTTCCCCGTTATCCACCCTGCGCATCTGCTGGTGCTTGTGTGCTCCTGCATTTCTGCCTTCCTCCAGTGCGCAGGGCGCTGATTCCACTGCTTATCACAGTGCATGCAGCTTCCAGGCGCCGCGTTGGCTTCATTCCTACTTTCAGATCTGCTCTCATCTCTGCCACGGGTCACTCAGGTGGTGTCAAGTGTTTTCAACCGTGTCCATGAAAGCGACGTTGCTACTCACCCTTCAAAGTTGTCATTCTGGACAGGTTGACTTCTGCTGTCTTGCAAATTCTAATCGCTCTGCTTGGAGTTAGCTCTGCAACCAGCCCTCCCTGCCTCCATCTCTCTCTCCAGTCTCAGATCAGTCATGAGCTCTTCTGAGATCCCTCTTCCTTTCAGTGCTCCCAGATTAAAACTATGCCTTTCATATGTTCCTTTTTTTTTTTTTCCCCAGCATCCCAATGTGTGTTGGATTTTTGTCCTGTGAGTCAACTGAAAGCTACCGGAGAAATCAAAGCTTCAGAACCAGCCAGTGCCAAAAATAAGAGTGCTGCCTTAGCACCCTCCCTTGTACTGCAACCTGTTGCTCACCCAATCAAGCTGCAGGCATCTCTGTCCACTGGAGGGAAGCAGGACTCAGTGATCCTTATGGGTCCCTTCCAATCTGGGATATTCCGATTCCAAAGGGAAGGAGCTCAGAGGATGGCTCAGTAGTGGTGCTCACACCTGAGATTTGCACCCCAACCACAGAGTGAGCAGAGGTTGTTGCCCCCCGCTTTCCCCAAGCTGTGTTTCTTCTCTGCAATGCATCCAATACCTTGAACAGGGAAGGTGGGCTGCAGGCTGGCATTGGTGCCAAGGTGCTGCTGAGGACATGCACTGACGTGGGGAGGTGCTCAGAGGGGAGGCGTAAGGCTCTGACCAGAGAAGTAGAAATTATGTTTCCCTGCCCACTTGCAGTGCTGTCTTTAGCAGCAGAGATGCCTGTGATACGTCTGAGCCTGGGGAATTCCAGACCTTTTTTTTTTCCTTTGCTCATAACAAAATGTGGCTGCTCCAGAGACTGTTAAACGAAGTGGCTGAAGGTCTGAGTGCACCAGAAATGAGGAAACAGAGCAGAGTAGAGGACAGCTTTGGCACACTGGATGGGAGAGCTTGGTCCTCTTCTCTCCTTTATTTGCATGTTTACACCGGCCCTGCCTACCCTTAAGGAAGCAAGGCAAGTGCTTGTCCTGGCCAGGCCACCATTTCTCAGGCTCTTCCATTTCCTGAAGAAAGTAATGCCTTTACCCTGTCTATGTGGGGTCAGAAAATACTTTTCTCAAAGACTTTGCAACTATTTTATGCGCAGCAGAAGAGAGGAGCTGAGGACAGCCCACATCCAGGGGTGACAGATGTCCTAAAGCCCTAAAGCTCCAGCAGAGCTGATTTCAGCTCAGCATGAAAGCACTGCAGTGGGTGCTGCTGTGCGTGGGGGACAGCAAGAGAAAACAAACAGCTTAGACTGAAATCAGAACTGTGATTTGGGATCAGTATGAATATCCCCGCGCCTCCCGGATTATCTTCAGTCATCGCAGCCTGTTCCACTTTGGCCTAAATCCCACGGCCTTGCCTCGAAGGCAGTTCCCTGCTCTGATGGAGCACGGATGAGGTGGGCAGGGAGGAACCCCCACTCTCGGTTTTTCCATGGGCAGAGCACGCAGGCCCTCCTGCAGCCCAGCAATGCAGCGCTGATGCACTGAGGTCTGGTGCCTCGCAGGAGAGGAGGAATCCACAGGCTGCTGCACAGTGCACAGGTGCATGCCAAGCACCGAACCAAGCTGCAGAGGGATGTGCTGCAGGATTTGGAGCCAGGTTGGAAAAGACCTCGAAGATCATCCAGTCTGCTGGCCACCAATAGTGACCACGAGGCAGGAGATGCAGGGCGCTGCGTGCTGCAGTGGGGCAGGAGATGCAGGGATGGGGGACGTGGCACCGTGAGCCCACAGCGTTGCGTGAGGCCGCTGCAATGCAGCCTGGCCCTGAGCAAACTGCACACAGCTGCTGCGACTGCCGGCCCTCCCGCTGGGCACCAATCTTCATCTCTTTGAAATAGGCATTAAAATACATGAGCCACACTCTCTGGCCAGGGCTCGCAGCACTGGATAATTGCTTCTTAAGTGCTTTCTAAATGCAAACTGCATGTCATTCTTACCACCGCTGCCACCTCCCCTGCACTCAGCCTTTGATCTCCTTCATGTCATGACAATATTGCAATTACCCCGTCAGTGTCCAGACGTGGTGGTGCTCCTGGTTGGAAGGCCACGAAGACCTGAGAGTTCTCCCTGAAGCGCGATGGCCAAGGTCCAGCCTGGTGAGGGATCCAGGTGAGCATTCAGGAGCTGAGGGAGAGGATTTGCCGTTGCAGATCTCAGCAAAATGACAGGGACAGACTCCTTAGTGGGGTCTGTTGTGATGGGACAGGGGGAAATGGTTTCCAACTAAAAGAGGGGAGGTTTAGATAGGACATAAGGAAGAAGTTTCGTGCAATAAGAGTGGTGAGATACCGGCACAGGTTGCCTGGAGCAGTGGTGAATCCCCATCCCTGGAGACAACCAAGGTCGTGTTGGACAGGGCTCTGAGCACCGATGGAGCTGTGGGTGTCCCTGTCCACTGCAGGGAGGTCCTCCCAACTCAAACCATTCTTTGACTCCAGGATTGTGTCTCTTCTTCCCCAGTCCAAACCTCTGCGTGTCCATGAGCCGTGCTGCCCCGTGCTCATGCCTGGGGTCTGCGGCATGGGGCCAGGAGCAGGCTCCCAGTGGGCCATGTGCTGCTGGGAATTGAGGTCCTACTGGAGCAAAGCACCAAGGGTTTGCCAAGAAGTTCCTGGGCCGGCAGCATTCTCATAGAACCGTTCTCAAAACCCAAACAAGCTGGGGAAGGCAGCCAAGGCAGTCCCACGAGATCCCGTCCCTGCTCAGGAGCAGCAGCACGTCGGAGCCTCTTTGTTGTCTGCTGACAGTGAGGGCCCTGTGGAGGAGCTGCTGCCAGCACAGAGCTGCTGGTGGGAGGCCGGTTCAGGAGCGCCGTGGGTACCGTGCAGAGAATCCATCACTGAATGGTTTGAGTTGGAAGGGACCCTAAAGGCCATCAGGGTCCAACGCCCCTTGCAATGAACAGTGAATAATTAATCAGTGCTCAGAGCCCCTCCAGCCTGACCTTGGGCGTCTGCAGGGATGGGGATCCAGCACTGACCTGGTCAACCTATGCCAAGTGCCTCACCACTCATTATAAAAAAATATTTCTTTATATCCCATCTAAATGGTCCGTGTATGCAAAGAACAAGTGCTTTGGAGAAGTTGCACCTCCCTTTTTGTGGGAATGCAGAATTCAGCCAGGCTGATGCAGGCAAAGCCTGGTTGGTAGCTGTGGTGGCTGTGGCTTTGGTTTATCGTAAGGCATTTGTTGGCTTGGATTCTGCAACAAGCCAGAATAAGCCAATTTAAACCCAGGCTGCTGAATTAAACCCTTCCCTGCTTCCAGCCCCACGGTGCTGCCTACACCCTGCTTCCCATCTGCTGCTGATGGCGGTGTTGCCACACACAACCACATGGATGCTGGTGGCATCGTGCTGCTCCTTACTGTGTCCCACTCTGCCCTGGAGTGGGGTCTCACGGTCAGAGAGCCATACAGGGGCCATGCTACCCTCCAGCACAGCCCCAAGTTGCACAGACATGAGTACAAACCTGCACACTCGCAGCGTGCGAGCCATTCTCTGCGCCTCATCCCCATCCATTTGCAGCCTGCCCTGCCGTGGCCATGGCAGCAGTCTGTACGTGTAGGTGGAAGAGCCACCCGTCGTCAATCTGTCCCCTCATCCATCCTGCAGACAAGTAGCTGCCTGCCTGGCAGATAGCACCGGGAGGGCTGCTGCTCCCTGCCAGGGACTGCTAAAGAGCAGCCCCCATATCAATCAGCCCCGTCACTGCTTGAGGGATGGATTCATGGGAAGGGATTCTGGCATTAGCAGTCTGTGCACATGTTGGCCACACCAAAGGCCACCGAGGCCTCCATCCCTAGCAAGGACAGTGGGGCTTCGGGTTGGGGTTGCACTCAGCAATGCCTGCTATACTATGGCAGAACAGAAAGATGGCTGAGGAAGTGGGAGAAGAAGAAGATGATGGCATAACTGGAGATCTGGGTGAGCTTTGAGGTATTCCGTGGCATGAAGGCTATTGGAGGATGGGTGGGAGGGTGGATAAATGGATGGGTGGATGGGGAAGGAGGATGGCTGAGGCCACAATGAATTTTTTCATAGGATTTGCTGATCTCAAAGCTGTCAGTATGAAATGGCTGGCTTGGACAAACACACCTCTATGAAAAACAAATAGGGATTCATAAGTCTCCACATTTTGAAAGTGACCGCTCTGGATGTTGTAAGAAAGCAAAAGTTCAGGATCTCTTCCTTCAGAGCTGGGCTGTGCTTTGACAGAAATGGTTTTAAGCTAAAAGACAAGAGATTTAAAGTCTGATTGTGTGACTGACAGATAAGCATTGGTTCCACTTCTGGTACATTTCCCAGTACACTGAGATGGAAAACTCCCTCACAGTTCCTCATGTTACAGCTTTTCCACTCACTTGCCCGCTGGATGGCTGCATCTCTAACATGAGGTCAGCTCTTTTTCTAGGGCACTGTAGGACCTGCCCTTTATTTTGGGGCCCACCAGCAATGGAATTGAGACAAGGCACACTAATGGCCCATCTGGGGAAGGGTAGTCCTGGAGATGTCAAGAGTGGGAGCCACGGTTGCATTCTGTCAGCGCAATGGAAAAGGGCTCATCTGAGCATTGTCCATTTGGCCCATGTGGAACCAACTGTAGGTAGGGAGATCCTCCAACCACTGGTGGAAGTATTTGGGTGCTATTTCTGCCATGTGGATATATATATATATATATAGCTGCTTCTGGAAGGAAAGCAGTGACCCAGCATGTGCAGTGGCCATAGGTGATGGGTTGATGGTAGGACTCATCTTACTGGTCTTTTCTAGCCTCAATGACTTCCTCCCTATGATTCGCCTTTACCTTCAACATCAAGCTCTTCAACAGCCCGCTTTCTCCTGTCAGTGGGCAATGCATTTCTCTCTGCAAAGGGAAAATAAGACCGATGCACTTTTTCACCTGCCCCCTCACTCACACAGTGCTGAGCAGGACGGCAGAGCCCAGCAGTGCTGCCAGATTGCACTCCAAAAACTCAGCCTGAGGAGACATGCAGCTCCAGGAGCACAGCCATCCTTCCCAGCAGACCCACAGCAGAGAGCGCGTCAGGGAGAGGTGGGCACGTGGTTCCCTCTGCCCAGCACTGAGCTGCTCTGCCATTAATCCCCCAAGGGACAACCGCTCCTTTCCTGGGTACCATTAAAGTGATCTTCATCTTCCAGTTCTGCATTAGCATTTATGGGGCAGTCATTCAATTTCTGCCCTGTGGGGCATGGGTTCATCACCACTACACCGAGGCTGGTGCCAGACCCTAAAGGATGTTAAACCTTTCCATGAACACCAAGAAAACTACTGACACTGTTTGGCTGCTGCAACAAACCCTTTTTTGAGCAAACTGTTGGAGAGATGTCCTTTCTCCCTTCCTATCCCTACAATAAAACATCTCTGCTCTCTGCTAGCAACAGCCCATGACAGAGGAGGAGGATTTCAAGGCCATAAAACCCCTGGTTGAGGAGAAGCTCCCCAGAAGACGCCTGGAGCTGAGGACATCCAACACAAAGACACTCCAATGGGCAGCAGCATGGCCCATGATCTCAGCAAGCAGGATCACAAGAGATCACCTCATAACGGCATCAGTGTCTCTTTGTCACCATTGAGGAGATGACCACTGATCAATGCCCCCACGCCACGCAGTCTCCCACTGAGGCTTCCTTGGATTTCCTTCATTTTGAGCTCACTGCTGAGATCTTCTCTCAGTAAAAGCAAGCAGGTCTAAACAGAGCAGCCTCACCTCCCAGCGTGTGCTGCCCGCTGGCCATCGTGTCTGCTGGGTCCATGCATGGCACACACATTCCCATTCCCTCCTTCCACTCCATATCACAAACCCCTGTGATGCACAGGGACGCAAGGCCCAAACCTCTCTGCATGCCGATGGAATGCTCAGGTTCTGCTTCAGGGTCCCCATCCCATCCAAAAACTCAGGTGTTGGACCAAGGCTTGGAGATGCAGCCCAGCACTAGGAGCCAGGCAAGACCATGAGGAAAATGCTTCTGCTGCTGACCCACCCTGAGCCTCTCTTGGAGCTGTGTGAGATCCTGAAGGCAAAATGCGTGACGATGCAGGAGTGTACATGATGCCACTCAATGTTCCACCTCATCAGCTCGGTTATGAGTGGAATAGCTCAATCCACTAGCAACTGGTGTGGAGAAACTGCTGTGCAGAATTTGGGGCAGGCAGGGGAAACTGGGTGCGCAGGGATGGGTGGTGGGGCTGGGGGAGGGCCCATAGCGGGCAAAGCACTGTGCTCAGCTCCTTGGGGAGGGCAGAATGGTGTCATGCAATGGGGAAGGGGAGGGGAGGGAAAAAGAAAAACGGAGGGGAGAACGGAGATGAATAATAGAGAAGACAGCACTCATCCTCAGGGCCAACGTTCTTGGGCAGATAGCTGGGCTGAACTGGAGCTGGACATCAACCCAGTTTTGTCATGCTGGGAAATATTCGCTAACAGGAGATGCTCATTCACCTCCATTGGTTGATGCCCCGTCCCTGCAGACACCCCAGGTCAGGCTGGAGGGGCTGTGAGCACTGATGGAGCTGTGGGTGTCCCTGCCCAGTGCAGGGGGTTGGACCAGATGGCCTTTAGGGTCCCTTCCAACTCCAACCATTCCATGACTCTATGATGTTTCTACCATTCTATGCTACAACCCTTCCTGGGGCCACTGGCCACCACCCCACTGCAGCCAGCCACTGCTCCTGAGCCAAGCTAGACGGACCTCCCTCATCATCATCAAACCAGCTCCACTAACGAGGCAGCTCGCCGTTAACACAGGCTCGCAGTGCGCAGCCAGGAGGTTGGCTTGGAGGGCACGGGGACGTGAGGACAGCTCTGCCTTCCCCCTGAGCATCAGCCCAGCCCAGTTAATGGGAAGCTTTGAAATGACCCTTTCATTGATCCTAATGCAATCAGAGCGCGGTCTTTGTGCGGGAGCAAACTGCCTCTGCTCCCCGGAAAGGCAGCATTGTGCCGTCTCTCGCACTCCCGTATGCTAATACACCAAGTCCCTGCAATTTCATTTTCAACAGGGACTAATTTAAAAGAAATGACCGGCCTGCCAGTGGACTTCAAAGATATCTTTTGATGAGTTTTAGCAGCTTCAGCGAAACTCTAATTTGAATTTCAGTGGCCGCCGTGTGATTTTCTCGGTGACAGTTAAGAGAGATGACAGCAGCAGCTCCATCTGTCATTGGAGCCTCTTCTCGTCCCTCTTTTCGGCGATTTGTTACAGAGGGGGGGAAGGAGAGAGGGGAAAAGTTGAAACCGAGGGCGGTGGGATTTGGGTGCAGGAAGGGAAGGGCTGTGGGGTGGGCAGGGGGAAGCGGCAGGTTTGGGGGAAAATGGCCAATTTGAGGCTCGTGCATCAAAATCTGTGCACGGGAAGCTCCGTGCTGACCCTGCACACCTACACGTGTGGCTTCAGATCCCTTTTTGGTGGTTCGGTGCATTCTGGAGAGGCAATGCAGTATCACTGCCACGGTCAGCTTGGGGTCGTGGCCAGAAACAGGGTAGCACATCACCTCAGACCCCACAGTCACAGATCTGAGTGCCAGCGCTGGTGAAGGACAGAGGTCAGGGCACCAGGGGAAGCCAAGCAGTGTGGCCAAGGAGGGGTACCTTCACTGGCCCGAGGGCTTGTCCCCTTCTTGCAGGGAGCCCAGGTGACAGGAGCTCTTGGGGCACTGGAGCGGCTGTCAATCCCACCCTAAGCGCCATGAGAGCTGATTGGGATGGTCTTTGATGCCCTTTCCAACCCCACCACCCCAAGGTTCCATGATCTTTGAGGTCCCTCCAACCCGTATATCTATGGTCCCATAGATGCCCTGCATGCATTACATCCTCAAAGAAGATGGCAATGCAAGGGATGGCGCGAGGAAAACTGCAAAAAAGGCAAAGAGAGCAGATCCCACCCTCTGCAGGGACTCGAGGCAGGCGGCGGGCTGCGGGTCCCTGCTGTTCCCTTTGTCTCCTGCAGCAAAGAGAGGGGCCGGTTGTCCCTAAGCCCATCTGACAGCGTCACCGGAGCGCTCCCGGAGCCACTCGTCACTCTGAGCCCCGCCATGAAATCGCTCCGACGTTAGGCACTTCCTAATAAAGCTGTCACAGACACCCCATTATCTCCTGGCCCAGCCCCCTGCCCTCTGTTTAACCAGATAATCCGCTTTTTAAAGATACACTTTCCTCTGGTGCCTCAGCCCTGTTCACAATGCGGGTGTCTGCAGTCCTCATCCACCCTTTTGTCCCCAGCCCTGGGAAATTCCCCGTTCCCCACTGTGGCTGTGTTCTTTCCACCAGATGGGCTATGGGCTGTGTCGGGGCTGTGTGTTTGGGGTGCAAAGGACCTTAAAGATCATCCAGCTCCAACCCCCTGCTGGGGGCTGGATGCCCTACAGGGACTGTGGGTCTCTGTGAGGTGCTAGGATGGCTATGGGGGAGGTCTATTGGGTTCCAGAGGGGTCCTTAAGGGGCTACAGGGGAGCCACAGGGGCCTCGGGGAGGAAATATGGGGAACCTGGGGGGGGGGTCTAGGTGGTCTGCTGCAGGACTGTGGGGCAGCTGCAGAATGGCTATGGGGTACTGGGGGGGATATGGGGATCCTATGGGGAGATACGTGGCCCAATTCCCATAGTGGAATTGGAAGGCACAGATCCCCAGCTGCACCATGGTGCAGTTGTACTGAGTCTGGGAGGCAACGTGGAGGTCAGGGAGGAGTATGGGGGGATGAGGGGCTCTGGGGGAAGAATAGGGGTCTATGGGAGTCCTGGGAGGACCCCCCAGTGAGGGGGGGCTGGAAGGCACAGATCCTCAGTTGCACCACAGAATCAGAATCAGGGGGCAATATGGGGTCGGGGGGGGCTATAGGGTCTCACAATCAGTACAGTCCCACACCAGCTGCATGCATGGCAGAAACAGCCCTTGCTGGGTAACATCCTGCCCCATAGCTGTCCCACAACCTGCCCCAGAGCTGTCCCATAATCCACTTACAATGGCCCCATAACTGCCCATGGCTCACAGTCAGCAGCAGCTCTATCAACAGCTCCATGAGGGGGAATGTCAGCCCATCCTAGGTGTCGGCCTGCTCCATATCCACCCCAGAGCTACCCTATAACAGCCAATGGGTCTGTAGCCCATGGTCAGCAGCAGTTCCAGCACTAGCTGCAGGTAGGGGAGCATCAGCCCCTCCTAGATGAGGGTCTGCTCCATAGCTGCCCCACAGCATCCCTGCAACCCTCCTACAGGTGTCCTGTAACTGCCCTATAACCCAGAAGTTCACCCCCCAACTCCCTGTAGGGTGACAGCAGCCATAATACAGTACACAGCGCCCCACAGCTACCCCATAAACAAACTGTGCTTGCCCTAGAAGTATCCTGCAACTGCCCCATAACTGCTCCTACAGCCCTCTGCCCCACAGCCCAGACCCCATGGCTTCATGGCTTCTATGGGGCAGCTATGGGGCACTATAGGGCAGACCCATACCTAGGAGGAATTACTTTTACCCCAAACAGAGCTGGTTATATGGCCACAGTGAGGTCAAGATATGGGGTTATAGATCACATGAGGTTCATGCAGGGTCACAGAATTATGGGGTTACATGGGGTTATGGGGTTACATGGGTTTGTGGGGTCAGATGGGGTTATGGGTCACAGTTATAGAGTCATACGGAACGACGGGGTTATATGACATGGTGAGAGGCGACATGGGGTCAGAGGTCACAGAGTTATGGGGTGTTCAGGGGGCATCGGTGGGGTTATGGGTCACATGGGGTCGCACAGGGGTATGGGGTCATTTCAGGTTATGGGTCATGTGAGGTTTGGATCAGCACCCCACGTTTGGGCTACAAGGACCTCCAATCTCAGTTAAATCAATAATGACACTCCAACACCACCCCACACCCCCCAATTTTTACCCTAAACTGCTTCCC